AATAGGTGTTAAGTCTTCCTTAAATGTTTGGTAGAATTCCCCTGGAAAGCCATCTGGCCCCGGACGCTTGTTTTTTGGAAGATTTTTTATTATGAATTTGATTTCTTTACTGGTTACGGGTCTGTTCAAATTTTCTATTTCTTCCTGTTTCAGTTTTGGTAGTATATAAGTTTCTAGGAATTTGTCCATTTCTTCCAGATTGCCCATTTTATTGGCATATAATTGCTCATAATATTCTCTTATTATTGTTTATATTTCTGCTGTGTTGGTTGTGATCTCTCCTCTTTCATTCTTGATTTTATTTATTTGGGTCCTTTCCTTTTTCTTTTCAATCAAAGTGGCTAGTGGTTTATCAATTTTGTTAATTCTCTCAAAGAACCAGCTTCTTGTTTCATTGATCTGTTCTACTATTTTTTTGGTTTTGATATCATTAATTTATGCTCTAATATTTATTATTTCCTGTCTTCTGTTGGCTTGGGTTTTGCTGTTCTTTTTCCAGCTCTTTAAGGCATAAGGTTAGGTTGAGTATCTGAGATCGTTTTCTTCCTTCTTTAGGAAGGCCTGGATTGCTATATACTTTCCTCTTAATACCGCCTTTCCTGCATCCCAGAGGTTTGGGGTTGAGGTGTTCTCATTTTCATTGCTTCCATGAACGTTTTGATTTCCTCTTTAACTTCTTGGTTAGCCCCTTCATTCTTTAGTAGGATGTTCTTTAGTCTCCAAGTATTTGTTACCTTTCCAAATTTTTTCTTGTGGTTGATTTCGAGTTTCATAGCAATGTGGTCTGAAAATATGCACGGTATGATCTTGATCTTTTTGTACTTGTTGAGGGCTGATTTGTGTCCCAGTATGTGGTCTATTCTGGAGAACGTTCCATGTGCACTGGAGAAGAATGTATATTCTGCTGCTTTAGGATGAAATGTTCTGAATATATCTGTTAAGTCCATCTGGCCCAGTGTGTCATTCATTCAAAGCCATTTTTCCTTGTTGGTTTTTGATTAGATGATCTGTCCACTGCTGTGAGTGGGGTGTTGAAGTCCCCTACTATTATGGTATTACCATCAATGAGTTTCTTTATGTTTTTTGATTAATTGATTTATATATTTGGGTGCTCTCACATTTGGTGCATAAATGTTTACAATTGTAAGGTCTTCTTGGTGGATAGACCCCTTATTTATGATATAATGCCCTTCTTCATCTCTTGATACAGTCTTCATTTTAACGTCTAGATTGTCTGATATAAGTATGGCTCCGACTTTCTTTTGTTGACCATTTGCATGACAGATGGTTCTCCATCCCCTTACTTTCAATCTGAAGGTGTCTTTAGGTCTAAGGTGGGTCTCTTCTAAACAGCATATAGGTGGATCTTGTTTTCTTATCCATTCTGTTACCCAATATCTTTTGATTGGAGCATTGAGTCCATTGACATTTAGAGTGAGTACTGAGAGCTATGAATTTATTGCCATTATGTTGCTTGTAGAGTTGCAGTTTCTGGTGGTGTTCTCTGGTCCTTTCTAGTCTTTGTTGCTTTAGTCTTTATTTATTTGTTTGTTTGTTTTTTCACCTTTTCTCCCCTCAGAAAGTCCCCCTTAAAATTTCTTGCAGGTCTGTTTTAGTGGTCACAAACTCCTTTAATTTTTGTTTGTCTGGGAAACGTTTTATCTCTCCATCTATTTTGAATGACAGCCTTGCTGGATAAAGAAATTCTTGGCTGCATATTTTTCTGATTCAGCACATTGGCTATATCCTGCCATTCCTTTCTGGCCTGCCAAGTTTCTGTGGATAGGTCTGCTGCAAACCTGATCTGTCTTCCCTTGTAGGTTAAGGACTTTTTTCCCTTGCCGCTTTCATGACTCTCTCCTTGCCTGAGTATTTTGCGAATTTGACTATGATATGCCTTGTTGATGGTCAGTTTTTGTTGAATCTTATGGGAGTCCTCAGTGCCTCCCAGATTTTGATGTCTGTGTGTTTCCCCAGGTTAGGATAGTTTTATGCTATGACTTTCTCACAAAACCCTTCTACCCCTATTCCTCTCTCTTCCTCTTCTGGGACCCCTATTATTCTGATGTTGTTCCTTTTTAATGAGTCACTGATTTCTCTAATTCTTAAATCATGCTCTTTTACCTTCATCTCCCCCTTTTTTTTCTGCTTCATTATTCTCCATAAGTTTATCCTCTATATCGTTGATTCTCCATTCTGCTTCATCCATCCTTGCCACCGTAGCATCCATTGGAGATCGCAGCTCAGTTATAACATTTTTATTTCATCCTGACTAGCTTTTACTTCTTTTATTTCTGAAGAAAGGGATTCTAATCTCTTTTCGACTCCAGCTATTATTCTTATTATCATGATTCTAAATTCTGGTTCAGACATCTTGCTTGTATCTGTGTTGGTTAAGTCCCTGGCTGTTGTTTCTTAGTGCTCTTTCTTTTGGAGTGAATTCCTTTATTTCATCATTTTGAAAGGAGAAAAGGAATTAATGAGGTAAAAAAATAAAAATTACAAAATTAAAAACAAACACACACAAAGTAAATCGAATAAATGATGGTAGATACTAGGTATGTTTTGGTCTGGGTGTTGAAAGTAGATTGATAGATAAGAGAAAAAAGGGGAAAGAAGAAAAAAAGGAAATCATTTGAAAATTTGAAAAGATTAATACAATGAAGTAGACTAAAATGAAATGATGGAAGTAAAATAGAATTTGAAAAAAATTTACACAAAAGTATAAATTATAGTAGAAAAAATAAAATATTTTTAATAAAAATTGAAAATAAAAATGAATTTTTTTCTCTTTTTGTATTCAAGAAAAAGAAAAGAAAAAGAAAAGAAATGAAAAAAGAAAAAAGAAAAAAAGAAAATAAATTGAATAAATGGATGAATGAAAGACTGAAATACAGCTGAAATTACTTCATTTTACCCTAGAAGTCAAACTCTGAAGCTCTTTATAGTCCATAAACTAAGCAGGCGGAGAGACTTGTGTTCCTGAAGAGTGAGGTTGGCCCAGTTGGGTGGGGCTTAGTGTAACAGCTCCATTCTCTACTAGATGGTGCTGCTAGCTTACTGGGGTGGATTGTTGTGGCGCTTGTAGGTGCCTACGAACATACGCGGGAGCAGTGAAAATGGTGTCATCCAGCTACCCAGTCTCTAATATCAGAACTCTGTTTTCCCAGATCAGCAGTCATGCACCGTCCTTTGTCTTCAGCTTCCATCTGCTCCCTTTTACACAGTCTGTGACCAAGCCCCAGGCAGCACCTCCCTCCTGAGTCTTGTCTCAGATGCAGCTGTTCTTCCAGACTCTTTCCTTCTGAGGGACTGTGGCTTTGACTGGTTCTGCCCCTCTGCAGGAGGGTCTCACTGAGCAATGGCCATGTGCCAGCCACACCCAGGAATGTTTGCGGGACCATGCTGTTGCTGATGCCCAGATACTGTGGCCAGGTGCCGTCGTCCTGCCCCAGGAAAAATTCACGAGACAGTGTAGCAGCAGCATTTCAGGGATTATAGAAAATCACAGCACACATCTGGCACCAGGCTTCACCCTTAATGACCTTGTTCCAGCACCAGCGAATGTGGTTGTTCTCCTGGGTCCTCTGGGCCTTGCCTTTGTGGGACCCACACAGCCTCTACCAGATGTCCTCCCAGCAGGGGAACCGCCTCTCCCCGTGTGGCCTGAAGACCCCTGGACTCCACTCTGCTCCTGGGGATTTGTCCTTCCCACCAGAGCACTGCTAGGTATTGAACTGCAGAGTTTCAGCCTCTGTGCTCCCTCCATTTATAGTCTTAATGGAATTTAAACTCTCTCCTTTCTCCCTTTTTAGTTCAGTCCCTGCGGCTGTTTCCATTTTTCCGCTTTCTCTCCAGCTGCTTTTGGGGGGGTGCTTTTCCAGTATTCTCCCCCCCCATCTCGGTCCCCTCTCCACACACAAAAGCGGCTCCTTGCCCTCCACAGCTTCTCTCTCCCCCAGTTCACCTCTCTGTGCTGCGTACCTGCTTAATTCTGTGGTTCAGGTTGTGCAGATTGTTGTGTTAATCCCCAGATCAGTTTTCTAGGTGTTCAGGATGGTTTAGTGTTGGTCCAGCTGTATTTCATGGATGCAAGACACACAGAAAACCTCCATGCTGTTCTGCCATCTTAGCTCCTCCTCAACATTATGTTCATTACAGATACTGTTGTGCAGCGTCGTAGTTCATTCATATCACTATGTAGTATTCTGTTGTATGAATATTACAAAATGCATTTATCCGCTTCCCAATTCATGGGCATCTGGGTATAATGAGTGGTATTGTCATGAACATTCATGTTCATGACTTTGGTGAATACATGTATACATTTCTGTTAGTAATATACCCTTGGGTGGGATTGCTAGCTTATAAAATAGGCATGTGCTCAGCTTTAGCAGATACTACCAGACAAGTTTAAAAGGTAGTTGTACCATTTGACCCTCCCACCAGCAGCATATGAGTGTTCTAGCCACCCCCCATTTTTGCCAGCTTTCACTATTTTGCACAGGACAACCTTTGACAACACACTGATAAAGGAAAGCGTGGCTTGAACAGAGGCTAAAAGGGATTTGAGACACAGCCTCCAGGTGGCTGAGAAATCTCTTCCTTTAAAGACAGCACCCTAGAACTGTGGGGGCTCGAGTCTGACTCCAGAACCACAATTCCCTCTCCTTATCCCCAATGCCCCATCTTTCATGAAGTCATCAGCCACATGCACATCTGCAATCTTCTCCATTGCAAAAGAAGTTACTTTAGTTCTCCTAAAGCAAATAAACAAATAAGCCAACAAATAAACATATATCTCCTTTAACACAGAGACAGGTAGCTGAAGCACAAATTCTTCCTGGGTAAGGCAAATTGTATCAAGGAAAGACAGAATTTATCTATCAATATATCTACCAATCTATCTAACACATAAGTTCTCACAATGTACCAGGCCTAAGCCCTTTACAATGGCATATGAAATAAACATTATTATTATTATTATTATTATTTTACAGGTGAGGAAACTGAGGCATAAAGAAGTTGAGTAACATACCCAACCTCATGGATCTGGTAAGTGGCAAAGCAGAGAATGCAATCTGAGCAAGCCTGGCTCTATAGTCAATGCTCTTAACTTCATACTATGCTGTTTTTGTTTTTCTGGGAAACTCAGGCCTTGAATAACTGCTCATCTCAACTAGTCTAATGTGTTCCTTTTAATTTTCCCCTTAACATACCAAGAATTTGCTTACTTCATATGCCCAAATGTAAAGCAAGCCCTTAGTTTTCCAAAGAGAAAATTCTGCCCCCCACAAATTGGAGCCTATCTGAGTAATAAACTTGTAGCACCATAGATTGAGTAATCAGATGTCTACTTATAATACCGTACTTTTATAATTTCATACACACATATAATATCACAAATTAAATAAAGTAATGTATTGTTAAAATAGTGCTTTTTTTTCCCGAGCTCATGGGTCAGGAAATTATTTATCTTGGACAGGCTTATATAGCTAAGCCTCAGTGTCCTCATTGTCACTCTGGTTATTTTTTACACCATCAACTTCAGTTCATTCTGGGCTGTTGACATACAGCATCTTTTAGTTTCATATATTACAAGGTTGTTGGAAATTTATCCCAAATTAAAGCACCCGTTTGTATACTTTTTAAAAATTATATTGATCCCCTGGGTCTTATCATCGATAGAGCATCTTAATATATTGCTCTACACAGTGATGACTAAAAGATTTATTTACTACTGTCTCAGATGATTGCAATGGAGTCATGACCACAGTTATAATTGCTAAATCTGTGTTATATATCTTTACTTTCATTTTATTCAATCTGTAAAGAGACCTGTATAAATTTTCCAAATTAATATTGATTTGGATTGTTTTAATGGTCCTCTTCAAATAGCACTTTATCATTCAAACTGAACTATTCAGACTTTATAAAGACTCAAATAGAAGATGGCAATTCGTACTTTCCTAAGGAACAGTTCTGAAGGAAGGGAGGGAACTTTACCTGTGAATTGGCTCTCACTGGCCAAATCATGGCTAAAGCATGGAACCTGCTTAAGATTCTCTCTCTCTCTCTCTCTCTCTCTCTCTCTCTCTCTCTCTCTCTGATAAACTTTTTAAAAAATGTATCCCAGACTAAATGCAGATGATGGGGGACAGTTTTCCACAACAGAAGTACCCAGTGTTCATTGTTAATTCTCTACCCAGTTAGATACAACCAGATTTCCAAAGCCCAGACAACTGTGAGCATACCACCAACTTGTAGGTTTCTCCTGAGCAGCGAGCCCCAGGCTGGGCAAAGGATAAGCTTGGAAAATTCATATCCAAAGGGCAAGGTACGTGTGCCTAATGGCTAGGCACCATACATAGCTTCTGGAGGCTTCTGTTCAAAGAGTCAGGGTCCCTACTGAAATAGCATTTGAAAAACTTGCAAATAATATAAAGCAGGAAAATGAGAGCAATTGTGACCTTCTAAGTCTGCTGGGTTGTCCTCATCAGAACTTCTAAGTTATAGAAAGGAAAGTATAAGAGGCATACAGTGTTATAGTAAAGAGCAAAAGTTTTGGAGTTAGAAACCTGGCTCTGCCACTAGCACTATGGCCCTGCACACAACACTTTTCTTCTCCAAGTGTGTAAGCTGAAAACAATAACTGTAATAATATCTAATTTAAAGAGTTTTGTGAAGAATGAACTAGGCTATACCCGTAGAATACTTAGTGCATTGTAGCATGTAGGAAATCACTTAATAAATGATCGTCATTGCAATTATCATCATTTCATTCTACTTAGTCAACATTTTCAGCCCAAGATTAAGTGGATGGAGTGTCCCTTCTCACTGTATTTAAAGCATCTAATGGACTCCCAGGAAAATGGAGCAAGAGAAAAGGTCTGGGTAATGGGAAGGCAGAACATCCTGTCTTTTCCCCATACTCCCAGTTTCTGAGTTTGTTTTGCCATACAGTAACACTGCTCTCAGCCCACTCAATGCCAAAATTCACATCACCATCTGAAGTAACATCTTCAAGATGAAAGGAAAAACAGATAAAAGGATGCCAGTGATGTCTCAATTCAAGCCATGGGAAACGTAGCTAAATTTGTCATCCTTCCCTTCCCATGTGAACAAAAGTGCCTTCTACCTGCCACATAGTAGCTCTATAACTAGTACACTGATTGGAGAAAAGGTCTAAATTTAATACTTAATCATCTTGAATGATGCTAGACCTATTTTTTTGCTAACCTTTAAAAACTTTTTATTATGGAAATGTTTAAACAAACAGAAGTTAAAAAGTACCCCCATGTACCCATAACCCAGTTTAAAAAGTTATCAACTCATGTGTTTTTTATATACCCTTCTCTACTTCCCCCCTCCTTTTAGATTATTTTAAAACAAATCCTAGACATCATATCATTTCATCCTTAAGTATTTCAGCAGGTGACTCTAAGCAAGGACTCTTTTTCTAAAATATAACTATAATGTCATTATTCCCACTAAGAAATTAATAATTATTCTTTAATATGATGAAATATCCAATAAGTATTCAAATTCCCCCTGATCCCATATTTTTTACAATTTTTCTTAGTGTCGAAATAAGGTCCATACTTTGCAATTAGTCATGCCAAAAGTTACAAAATAACAAAAGTAAAAGCAGTAAATCACTGAAGTAGTAATTAGTAAAAGTTTATTGTGCGCACACCAAAAAGACAGTTTGTAAACTGGGAGCACTCAAACCAGACCACGGAATGAGGCTCAGGGGTATATTGTTTTAAAGCAGCTTATATAGTGAGAAAGCAGACTGTTTATTATTTGCAGTGATTGGTTATGATTTTAGAATTTTCTTAAATGACAGGGAACTGGTCGGTGGTTACCTCATATCAAGTAGGGAAATAGTTTAACTTTTGGTTATGGTTTCCAAAGGCATAAGCGAGAAATGACCTGGGTGAAGTTCACCTTGCAAAGTAAGCTAAAGTAAGCTTTGTTTGTATGAATAAACTGGTTTTGTCCTTCCAGGGAATTTTCAAGGCTGGCCTCCATTTCTTTTTAACAATAGATATGTCTTTTAAGTCTCAGTCTCTAGCTTCTAATTCTTTCTCTTTTCCTCTTTCTCCTTCTCTCTCCCTCTTTCACACAGACCCACACACACAGACACCCTACCCTCCCATACACACACACACACACACACACACACACACACACACAAACACACACATTTTTCAATACACTTTTGTTGTTGAAAAATGCATGTTACTTGTAAGAGTTTTGATAGTCTCGATTTTGCTATTTGCATCCTTATTACCGGTATGGTTTAGTGTGTTTCTCTGTCCCCTATTAACTGGTAGTTAAATCTAGAGGCTTAATATGATTCTGGTTTGATATTTTGACAAGGAAACAGCACAGATGGTATTTTATACTTTCATTAGGAGGCATATACCTGTTGCTGCTCTTTTTGCTATGCTAGCCATTGATGATCATTGTCCAGGTGCAATTTTTTAAAACAATATTTTACTATGGTTTATCCCAATACTTTTTAGAAATTATATATGACTTGATTAGGAGCTAGGCATCTATGACAGGGATCTATCCATTTTAGGAAAGAGACTATACCTCATTTTTCTTTATACCCCCGGTACTGAGAGCATGGTGACATCACAGGCACTCTAAAACTTTTGTTCAAATTAATTGGAAAACCAATATTTCCTCTAGAATGCAATTTATCTGAAGAAATGTATGCTTTTCTACTCTCATCAATAGCTTTTGTAGAGTCAAGGACTTTACCACTACCCCAACACCTGACCTGCCTGTTCTTTTTAATTTAGTCATTAAATTCTCCTCACATTTATAAAAGAAGAAATTGCTATGCCTGCAACTGAGTGGCTGCAAAGGCTAACATTAGTTTTAATTCTTCCATCACATCTGTTTAAATTTCCTCATTAAGACTTCAGGTACAATTTTCCCAATAGTATTACCTGGGCTCTGTATGCAAATTATATCCCTGCTTACACAGTTGAGCATTTAAGGCATGATTATATTTTCTTCCCGTGTGTGATAAGGAACAAAAGGAATGTATAATGTATACGTTATACATACAATGTATGTATAAGACACCTTTGGAAGCTCTTGTTCTACTTTTTAAATAATTCATTGTAACAGTACCTAGCAGGACTTATGCCCTGGGAGTTCTTGATCCTATTTTGCCACAACCCAGCCTCTCTCTTGATGTTGAAAGATTTAGACAAAAGGACCAAATCAGCACTTAGCAGAGGTCAACAGAGAAGCTGGTTCTACACATAGAAACGATCCTGGTTTGTTTCTAGCTTGGGTTCAGCTATGACCCTTCACTGTCAAAGCCCTCTGATAGATTGTTTAGCTCTACCCTCTCCCCTTCTCCCATATCATTCCCTCTTTAGCCTCCTGCAGTCTAATTTCTACACCAACCGCTACCCACCATCTCTTATTGGTAACTGACATGTCACATCGAGTAGGCTTTCCCCAGTTGGTTCTCATCTCACATGATGGTTTTGCAGTTTTCATCCTGTTCAGCAGCTCCTTCCTTTTGAAACACCTCTTGTCTACATTTCAGTCTATACATTGCAATTCTCCTTTGACCTCTCAGAGTGCTTCTCACTCTCATTTGCAGCCTTTTAAATGTTGGGTTTTCCTATTGATTTTTCCCAGCACCTTTTCCTCTCTCACTCACTCTCTTTCCCAACAATTTCATTGCCATGTCTGGGGATAAGGCTACCAAATCTACATCACTTCCTCTGTCCTTGTCTTGGAGTCCAGACTCACATCACTGGTTGTACACTAGGATAGCTGCAGATAAATAGCAAAGCAGCACACGTCCAAATAAAATTATTACCTCTTTTACCCCCACTTCTTGCTTTTCATTACTGCCATCCATAATCTGTGGACATCTCAGGGCCCCCCGTGATAACACTTACCCTCTCTTCTTCCCATTCCTCACATCCCATTGTTCATCAGGTTCTCTCAAATTAGTACTCCAGAGGTCTCTCAAAGTCATCCCTTCTGCCCTTTTGGCTCTACTCTTTGCCTAG